TCGCATGCAGTGGGTATTACGGAGTACCATTTAGCAACGCACTCAGTGTTCGTTCAGATATGACGCGGTTAACCGCAGCGCCCGTGTTGTTGTTCTTGTGAATGATAGACAACTGCGAGCAACAAAAGTCCTATGCGTATTCACTTTGCTGTGAAGCTTTTGAAGCGCATAAACTTTACGTCAAGATAAAACCAAAAAAAGTGACCGTCACGGTTTTACTACCTTATATCTCAACGTGGCTTTAAGTATAGAGGGCGTAATAGTTTGGGTCAGTCAAGTACGGCTTCTTAACCAACTGCCTATCCTGGAACCGAGTGCCCCCTGTATTAATCCAATGAAGATGCATGAATTCAGCAGTCAAAGGGTTAATATGTGAGTCAACGTCAGATAATGAGCTTATATCTACTTAAGATCACAGTGTTGATGAATCAAAGACACAAGTAGCTTTCCATTCGCTACTCCGCGCCAGTGCCAATCGAGTACGGCGAACGTTAATTTGCAGTCGTCGTCCCCGCTCGTCCCGGCTGTCAGCCCGCTCCGGGCCCGCTGCTTCCAAAGTGTGAAGATTTGATGAGCCGCAGACAGCTGGTCGTGTCGCCTAAAAATCTGTCTGTTTACCCGCTCGTGTGTGTCCTTGCCTCATCGGGCGTTCTGTTTTCTTTCGTTTCTCCATTTGAAAAGTCTTTTCAAAAGTATCCCAAATGTTATACCAGCAAAAGAAACAATGAAACATTGACATCCTTCACCATTATCATTTATATTCTCCTATTAAACATGTCATTTTACCAGCATATTAGCCTATTTTGATTTCTGGACGTATAGTTTGTTTAGTGGTGATGTCCTATTAAGCAACTTGAAAGTAATCATTAAAAATGAAGATGTTTTGAATTCTATAGTCATCTTGTTTCAAAATGTTATGGTACTTGTAACAAACGAGTTAATTCTGTCATTGATGAGTATTGTAATTTCTAAACTACGCTACATTTTTACTTTTAGTTAAACTGGTAAGGACTAAAAGGTAGGAGGTTATGATGTATCCTACCCATGATGGCGCTGTTAATGTCGTGGCTGCGTTCTGCATCACGGAAGAAAAATAGTTTGGTGTCATAAATAGTCAACGGTATCTTTGTTGAACATTATAATGTACAGAATTTTATAGTCTATATTCTTAGAGTATTTCCTTTTTTGTTTAATGTAGAAAGAGTTTTAACCACTGGACGAAAAAGGACAAACCAGACAATTGGGTATTATGTCCCATGCATCATGGAGTTACAAAAAATAAATGAGGGGTAAATAGTTGAGGTAGGAAGAGTCAGTTAAATTGTCATGGTTATGGAAAGGATTATGCAAAGTACAGAGGGGAGATTGGAAGGAAGAAAGAGAGACGTTAAATATCAAGAGACGTTGCATAATCGATCTTCGACAATATGTCAGAGAGGTGAGGGTGTAGGGAATTGTGAGGGGTGAGGCGTCGTGGTGTAAAAGTGAAAATATTGAATTCCGATAGTGGAACTGTATTCTAAACAGCGCTGAGGAAATATATGTTCTAAAGTTGAGGGCTGCGGGCACGTCAATCTACTTTGCTTATTTCTGTAGCCCTCCTGCATATAATGTATGTTAATTATGTATTTAATATATTTGTTTAATTTCGTTTATCTGTATAAAATTATAAACACTTAAAATATTGTATCAAACCATATTATGTTCATGAAACAAGCATATGCCATTAAAGACAAGACGAGTGAGAAAAAACCCCTCCCCATGGATGAATAGTGAAATACTTACTTTAATGAAAAAGAGAGATAAAGCAAAACTGAAAGCCAAAAAGAGAAACAGTGATGACTTATGGAAACTGTACAAACGCATGAAAAATAAAGTTACCACCGAGATAAGAAAATTCAAACGTAAACACATATGATAAACTGTCTGAAGTCACCAATAGAAATGAATCTTGGACAACACTCAAAAGTTTAATGGGTAATTGTAATTCTTCTAACAGCACTTTTCCAAAATAAAATTCAAGTGTAATAGCGAATGAGTTTAATAACCACTTTGCAGATATAGCGACAAATGTATGCACAAATAACACAAGGGCTAATAACCGGCTTTATGCCCATGGTGAAAAGGTTTCTGACAGAAAATTTAAATTTGTTAATGTATCTCAATCTTATGTCTTGAAACAAGTAATGTCAATGAAAACAAAAAAGTCCGTCGGGTTAGACGAAATTTCTATGTATATTCTTAAAGAGTCAATATCTTAAATGATTGAATCTTTTACCTTTTTAATCAACAAATCTTTATCGGAAGGGGTTGTGCCTGACAAATGGAAAGTCGCAAAAGTAATACCAATACACAAAAAAGGAGATAAACTTGATTTCAATAATTATAGGCCGATCTCACTGTTGCCTTGCGCCTCTAAAGTTATGGAAAGAGTCGTTCAGCGACAATTGCTTGATTATTTAAAGTGTCATTCCTTGCTCTCCCAAAATCAGTCAGGTTTTCGTCCAAAACACTCCACCGTGACAGCACTAGCCGCAGTCACAGATGATTGGTTTTTCTATCGATAAAGGTAATTACGTTGGAACAATTTTCGTAGACTTGCAAAAAGCATTTGATATGGTTGATCACCTAATCCTTGTATCTAAACTTGAATCTATGGGTGTAATTGGTGTAGAATTACAATGGTTCAAACACTATTTATCAAACAGAAGAATAAGAACTTCGGTAAATAATGTCCTTTCTGATGAAAGATTAACTACGAAAGGTGTGCCGCAAGGTTCTTTGCTGGGGCCCCTGTTGTTCATTATTTTTATAAATGACATCAATTCTGCTTTCAACACCTGCAAGGTCCATCTTTATGCAGATGATACAGTCATTTATTATTCACATAAAAATCCAAAAGTGGTGGAAACTGTTTTAAATAAAGAAATTAATAGCCTTGATGCGTGGATGAATAAAAACAACTTAAAGATCAATTACGACAAAACTGTATGCATGTTACTAGAAACACATAACATGCTTAAAAAACAACCGCTTTTGAATATCAAAATCAAAGAACAACAGTTGTCCCAAGTAAAGAGCTTTAAATATCTCGGTGTACATGTGGATGAAAAATTAAAATGGGATGTTCACATTAAACAGACGTGTAACAAACTAAGTAAAATGGTTAGTTATTTATGTAGACTAAGACAATTTGTGAATATGTCTGAATTGAAATTAATCTATATTTCCATCATATGACCGCACTTTGATTACGGGGATGTAGTATGGCAATCTGCCTGCAGTAACAGTTTAATACAACTCCAAAAAATTCAAAATAGGGCCGGTAGAATCATACTTAAAGTTAACCCTTATTCGCATACTTCTACCAGTCAAATTCATAGCTGTCTTGGTTGGCAAATGATACGTGAAAGGCAACAAATCCATTTATTACTCCTAACTTACAAAACATTACATAACATGACCCCTGAATATTTGAAAGACATATTTGAGTTTAAACCCTCTCCATACTCCCTCCGTAATGCACATAATCTCTCTTTACCTAAGCCAAGAACTAATTATTGTAAAAGAACTTTTGTGTACAGAGCTTCTTTTCAATATAATAAATTATCCCTTGATTTGCGTCAACTACCCACTTTTGCCACCTTTAAGACTAACCTAAACAGACTATAATCTCCTTGTTGTAGTACCTCTTTATGTATGTTTATATGATGTTTGTTTTGTTTGTTTGTTTGTTTTTTGTTGTTTTTTTGTTTTTTTTTTCCTTTAAGTATTTGTATTAAGTTTTCGACTGATACTTTGTAATTATTTTTTTTTTTTAATTTGTAATATTATGCATATTTTGTATATTGTAAACTGGCCCCATGGAAGACCAGCAGCAACAATTATCGTTGCAGCTGAATATGGGCAACCAGCCGTATATTTGTATTTGTATATGATTATTTTTTATACGGAAATAAAAACAACAAACAACAACAATGAAAATGTATGATGAAGAAGACAAAAAAGATGCAGAAACCAATAAATCAAATCAAATCAAATCAAAGAACCAAGGAGAATATTGCGCAGGAAAAATTAAGAGAGAGAGAGAGAGAGAGAGAGAGAGAGAGCAAACTGAGAAACGGAAGTAGGAAATAATGAAGGGTGAGGTTCTAGCGGGAATTGTTTATTCAAGCATAATTTGTATGGAAACATCTGTTATTTAGGCTATTCAGAACCAACTTTATGAATGGAAATAATATGGCGCAGACGTCTGTATAATGACGAAATATTCACACGAGAGTACGAATAGCTATGCTTGGTTTCCCCCTAAATCAATACAACGCAATTCATGAGATTTCATTTCAAAAGATTACAACATGTGAAATAAATCACGTTTTTTCCCTGACATTTTCAAATGAATAATACATTGTAATACATGTTAGACTTTTCTTTTTAAACTGCACACTACCACTGCCCCCACCCCCCCCCCCCCCCCCCCGGCAATGTTGTAAAGCTGATGAATTAAACCACTCCTTTCGGGGTGGGCTCACAATAAAGTACTCATAAAAGTTGCCCCATAACATTTTGTCCGATTATAAAGTGGCGGTTGTCTAAATACTGATTCTTTCAAAGTCTAGGAAGAGGTTAAATGAATACCTCCAGCCATCCCCCTTCCCCACACCCTCCCCCCACTTCATACGCCTTCCCCAACTCCGCCCAATTCTTGGCTACCCTTCCATACAAGCATTGCACAATCCGATATATTTCGCGCCATCTGCTCGCCTAACTGATTAAATCGATACGACACCTAATAAATATTTCAAAAATAGACGTATGCAGAAAGTTGTTGTTTACAAACATAATATACACAGAATATCTTGCTTTTAATTCTACAGGCCATGTGGTAGTTGCATGACCGGCGAATCGGTCATTTATTTTAAAGATGGCGTGGCTGACGTGTCTGCTTGTAGTAGCTGCTCTTTATTCGATTGTCTGGATTATACTCTTTATTTTTCCAGAATTGCTCCACAAGCCAAAAAGGAATAAAATTCGAGCGAAATTAATAGCACATCGAGGAGGTTCGTATAAAAGAGAATATTCATGAATTTGTTATTATGGTTGGAAAGATATTATACTAAGAAGCCGAGAAAAGTATTTGTGTGTGTGTGTTTGCTTGTTTGTTTGTGTGTTTGTTTGTTTGTTTGCTTTGTTTCATTTGTTGTTATTGATCATCATGAATACATTTCATTTGATACAGGTGCTGGGGAAGAACTGGAAAATACCATCACGGCGTTTACACGGTAATCCACGAAGGGCTCATAATTTCAGATTTGTAGAATAGCATGTGCGCGCCCGTAAAAAAGGCTACTAGCTGAAATGCTCCCCAGGGAGTGGAGAATGTGCACTGTAATGTGCAGAATATTAATTAAATCCAGTGACCTGGGTAATGATAGTAATGTAAGCGCATTGGTCAGGTAATGGAAAAGCGCTATATAAGAAACCGGTATTATTATCATCATTATTAGTAGTAGGTAGTAGCAGCAGTAGTAGTAGTAGTAGTAGAAGTAGTAGTAGTAGTAGTAGTAGTAGTAGTAGCAGTAGTAGCAGTAGTAGCAGTAGCAGCAGCAGTAGTAGCAGTAGTAGTAGTAGTAGTAGTAGTAGAAGTAGTAGTAGTAGTAGCAGCAGCAGCAGCAGCAGTAGTAGTAGTAGTAGTAGTATTAGTAGTAGTAGTAGTAGTAGTAGTAGTAGTAGTAGTAGTAGAAGTTGCAATAGTAGTAGCAGTAGTAGTTGGCCTAATAGTTGTTATAGCATGTTTAATGTCATAAGCATTTACAAACAAAGAATCGTTTATGAATGTTTCATAATTTGTGTTATTGTTCAACTATTCTGTTCTTATTTCCTTCACTCCCTTACCTCTGCTCTATGTTCCCTTTTACAATTATCTCATAACTACTTGTATATCTATTTCATGGTATTAGTACAAATTAATTCCAAGCACACCCTGCTGATTTTAGGAAACAACACATGCCTTCTTCTATTTATTTGTGTAAATTTTATTTTATGTTATATATGTAACCGGAAAAAGAGAACATATTTGCTTTCAGTTAATTTGAATTGAGAAAGCCTTGATAGAAGTAGTAACTGTTTGATAATGAACTTATAACAATACAAGCAATTTCTTCCCAATCACAGCGCTTCGCAGAAGGATGTTCATATGCTCGAGCTGGACTGCTATTTGACGAGGGATAATCACGTGGTGGTGTCACATGATGCTCATCTCCTCGCTCTGACTGGTCAAGATGTCTACATTCATGACGTAGATTATAAGGTGCCGCCGGGATAAACAAAGCCTTATTGGAAAATGATTTTTTACTCACATGCGTATGGGATAATGGGAGGACGGGGTGAACTGGGTGACATTTAGATAAAACTGACAAAAAGCATATCAGTGTGTTTCTACAGCGAGTTTGTATTGTATGGTTAAGATAGTTTTACAAGCGACTGTGCAAGTTTCCTATTTGAAAGCGCTTCATTACCTGAACAATCACCAGTAAACAAAAAAGAATTGTGATTCTAGCAATTTTTTTTAATTAACTCTATTAAAGTACATGTAGGTCCCAATATATTAATAGTAACTTTAAGCTGGGATTCCGTAACATGTTACTAGAGGGGATAAAACAATACTATTAAAATACACATTCTCCCGAAATCTTCATTCTTCAGGATCTTCCGTGCCTTAAACCTGTATTGGAAGTGGAGTTTGCAAAAGGTAAGTTCTTATGAGGACAAACATATAGAAATTGACGGGCGACTTTTATGGCGGGTTTCGGAGACGAACAAATGTTTCTAAAAATATATATTATTTTCTAACATAAATTCATCTGACCAATAATGTATTCATCATAACTTGCCTGTTTATCAATAGCAATGAGCACAACGACAATAATAATAACAATACTTAAATAAATAAATGGAGAGGAAGAAGAGGGAGTAGAAGAAGAAGAAGAATTTGTTGTAGCAGTAGTAAAGTAGTAGTAGTAGAAGAATAATAAATGAAGAAGAAGAGGAAGAAAAAGAAGGAGAAGAAGAAGAAGAAGAAGAAGAAGAAGAAGAAGAAGAAGAATGAGGAGGAGGAGGATATAGTAGAAGATTGTTTTTTGATGGGGATACTCTGAAGGACAGAGTTAAACGATTTTCGAAAATATTTCATTTTAAAATCTACAGGTCAGACATGTTGCGGGAATTCTAATGACAGGAATATTCCTTTGCTTCGAGACGTCTTCGAGCGATGTCCAAGAGTACCTATGAATCTCGATGTCGGTACGGACAACGATGTCCTCATTGACAAGGTAAGAACGATCTCCTTTTGTTGTTGGTGGTGGTGGTTACTTACTTATGTTGTTGTTTTGGTAGTAATTTCTGTTTAAAAGGGTAGCTTTTGGATAAGAAGCTCAGTGATTATCTAGTAGCGGTCAATTTCTCTTCTCAACTGTGCCAGACTTGTATCGAGGAAAATTAGGGACTAGGCTTGTTAATTTTATCATAGTAACTTCTGTTGTTTGGTTGTTGTTGTTTTTTCTTATGTTGTTATATTTTTTTGTAATTGACTGATGGGAAGGTAACGATGGGAATTTAATGAAGGATTCATATTTAAACTAAAGTCTCATAAATATCTACAGGGTAAGCCTTCAGGCGTCTGATCCAGGGGGCACATGGAGAAGATCCCCCAGCTGAAACAACTTTGCCATACCTTTGAACCATGTAGGCCTACTCCTATGCCCCCCCCCCCCCGAAAATAGTATGAGCTCTTCTTCTTTGGGGGAGAAGAGGGGGGCTTTCAGCATTTAATCAGACCTTCGCCTTCTCCCCTGTTGGTCAAAGAATACTGGCTGGATATGCCACCGAATATTATTCAATAAAGAAAAATCCCCCCTCCCCCCCCCCCCCCCCCCAAAAAAAAAAAATGTCGAATTTGTTCACTTTTTACTTTACTTTTGTTTCTTATTATTTAAATACTGCGCCCATACTGTGAAAAACAAGAGATTAATTCTTGAATTTTAGTAATACATGTATGTGTTGCTCTATTGAAAATTGTATTAACGACTTAATGACTTAATATTGTTGTGGTATCCCTTTTGTATGCCCAGGTGATCGAAATGGTGGTCGAATTCAAGCGAGAGGACATCACAATACTTGGCAACACCGATGAAAACATGACACGAAAACTACATGCTAAGGTACAGCATAAAATCCAATCCATAGGTTATTTCATAATAATATACAGCCTTTTGGTTGCAATTGAAAAGCGCTTCACAATATACTGTAAGTTCCACACGTATTTGAGTCACTCAACAAGATTCAACACTTTTAGATGCTGGATGTAGTGTTGAATCCAGCAATTTAAAGACTGCAATTAAAGAATGAAATAAAGACTGAAATAAAGACGACATCTTGAATATGTTACTCATCGGCCAATTCAAATGTTGTTTCAACATTTTAGTTATTAGAGTGAAAAGTCATTCATGCCGTAATTATTAATATATCTTTCACTTTCTGCAGGCACCTGAACTGTTGTTATTCTTCAGTGAACAAAGCTTTTATCGTCTGCTCAAAGTTTTCTACCTGGGTGTTATCCCGTTCGTTAGTTTCAAGGAGAGTTTTTTAGAGATACCGCTGGGATCTGTTCTGAAAGATGCGTAAGTTCTCTTCTAATACAGTTCCACCTAACTCTACCCATAACTGTAATTATACTTGGGCATATACCATAGCGTATACTGAGAGATATAGTTGTGACACGCGCACATATTCGATCAAAAGTCAATTCATGGAGCTCCAAATTGTTTCATCCTATAGAGATTGTACATGTAGCTTCATGAATTGGCCTTTGATCGCGTACGTATATGCTTGTGTCCCAACCATGCAACTATCTCTCTCAATACGTTTTGGGCCCTACTATTCCACTTGTATTACTATTAGGACAATATGAAAGTGGTTGAATTATCTGTTGTAATTAAATGTTACTGGCTGAAGAAAATATATATATATAGAAATATATAAATATATTCATATATACATATTTGAAAGATTCAGCCAAGATAGGAGATGAAAGTTTTCAGTACACACTAAGGGAAAAAAAATCTGCTACAAAAGCAGCACCCTCTGCCAAATACGCGTAGGTGGATGCAAATCTGATCCCAATTTCTTAGTGTATAGTGGCACAGTAATATGGAATACATTTTTAGGGAGGTTACCACGTGAATTAAGTTCTTGTACCTCTGCTGAATCATTCAAGAAGTATCTTTAACAAATATTTACGTGGTAGATAACTGTGTTACATTTGCAGTATTTTTTGCATGTTTTCACATAATAAAACTAATCTGTAAAGCAACTTTGATCAATTTTAAATTGGATATAGCATTGTAAAAGAGATAATATTTCATTTCTTATCAATTATGCGGTGTTGAAAGTTATACAAACTACCAACAAACTACAAACTGATAAAAGCAACTATCATATTGACGATTCTCAATTAATTTCCCAAAAATATGGCTTGGCTATTCTTTCTATACAGGGGCATGGAGAACTGGATTTTTACCACCTTTCCACGACTCTACGATGCCGTGGTCTTAAATCCTCTTCTCGTCTTCCATTTACATCGCAGAGGAATAAAGGTAATTGCCATCAACGTTCATCCATCTTCATGATTTCCAAGGAGCAGGTGGGGGGGGGGGGGGGGGCAAGTTAGTTTTTGAAAGTGTAAGCTGTATGCATTTGATACAAATATAGTAAAACCTGTATATAAAGACTGCTCAAAGCGAGAAACAATATGGCTTTTTGTATGCCGGTAGTGTTTATGTTAGAATCACTATTCAAGGGAAACACAGATGGTATATACACAGACAGGTGGTCTTTCTAGGTGGCAACTAAAGCAGGTATCACTGTACCAAGTTCCGTGGTAATGGGGTATCCCCCGGATTGACATTCATTATGCTTCTATTTGAAAAAAAAGGATATTTTACAATATATACAAACAGGATTGGATGTCGCACATTCAGGAAAATTCAATGGTTCAAGTGAGAAATTTAACATTACTCCGCTATTCAAAATAAACTAGTAGTAAAATAGTTTTAAAATAGTGGGGGGGGGGGGGAAGGGACGGAAAATCTTTTTCAAATCCTTAGACTAAAAAAGGATTTTTTAGGATTTTTCATTTCTTAATTAGAAAATACATGTATAAGTAAAATAGTCTACTTTTCTAGGAAATGCCATAAACTTGCAATATCTCTTTACAGATGTTATATTTCAATATTTGAAGCTAATATTTGAATATAGTATTATGAAATGGAACTACTAACATGCAGAATGATAATAATTCCCTGAAAACAGCCATGCATCCTCGATGAATATGTTTCTTTTATATTGTACTTCTCAAAGGTTTTCATGTGGGTGCTAAACACAGAGGAGCAATGGGAACAGTGTTTTGCATGTGGTGCTGATGCAGTGATGACAGACTACCCATCCAAACTGAGAGACTATGCCAAGGAGAAGAAGTTGTGAATGAAACACCAACCTTTCAAACTTTGACTGAAAATATCACTTCAGATGAACCAATTGGAGCAGATACAGTCTAAAGTTTGAAGGGAAAATAAGCATAGACAAAAGGAAACAAAAGATTTTGCTATGGAGACGAACATGCATGTGGATGAATGATCAATCTTTGTGACTGATAATACCACCTTTATGAACCTTCCTGACTGAACGTACCACTTTGAATGTACCAATTGTAGAAGGTATAATCAACAAATTAAATTGAAGGATAGAAAACAGGACAAGAACAGGGAAGTATCTGCACTGTAAATCTTGTGTATGGGCCTACTTTATAGCTGAATGTTGCCTTCTTAACCGGACCTCTTCTTAGTGAAGCATTATCATTGGGTCACTCTCCAGAGGCTTCAGCATACTTCATGTGTGATGGTACCCTGTGTGAAGGAGTCCACTGGATGTTTGTTGACTTTTTAAATATTTATTATTACTATTATTAAACAATGAAAATGTATATTCTCTATTCACCAAGTATGTTATATATGTTGATTTTGATATGCAGAACAAGTCCAAATGAACACAAAGTTGGTAAAACTATAAGGTAACTCTGTATACCTGGGGAGCGTTTCACAAAGATCTTAAGCTAAACTAATATCTCTAAATTGGACTTAACAATTATGGAGAGTCTTTAGCATCTATGAAAATATTTTGTAAAAGTTATTTCAAAAGGCATAAAATATTGATTCAAATCAGTCATATTTTCTATTATCAAGGAAATTTCATGTTCTTGATGTGAAATTTATAAAAAGTTTGAAATATTTGAACCTGCTCTTTTGAATATATTTTATTTTAAGGCTACAAATGGCTCTCTTTAATTCTTAAGTCCAACTTAGAGTTAAGTTCGACTTATGATCTTTGTGAAACACCCCCTGGAGTGCTTTACAGCTTGTAATTGATCCCAACTCTTTCTTTATTCTTGGGAGTGGGTGTCTGTCAATTTTCATGGAGTAGGGTGTACTATTAATTTGTTTGTTGGTCCTAAAACAATGCTAAAGCTAAGAAATTACAGAATATTGGTAGTCCCTAATAACTTTGAAATCACTATCCAAAATTAAACAAACCCAATATTTCCCATGTATTTTATTTATTTGAAATCATATTTCAATAGACTTTGTCTCATATCCTGTCATTCCTATTAATAATTGCCATCATGTTTTTGCTATTTTTTCTTCTTTATTCTACTGACCCTTATATGGGGCTGGCACATTATGAATACTTGATATTATCATATTATTGTAACATTGCACTGAGAATTATGTACCGGTATGACTAATCCTGGAGTTTCTTAGAACCCTTGCAAATAAATAATTTGCTTGAACAGAATCAAAATGAACAGAATTCACTTGAATTTCTTGTTTAGTTGATCTTGAGCATTTTTTAATTTCTTGAAAAATACATTTACTAGTACAAACAATAATGATTAAAGTTGTATTGATACTGTCAGTTTGTCAATAATCAGTTAGATACATAATATTATAAATATATTTATTACTCTACATGTAGGTTATATTCCTTTTGACAATGATTCAAAATATCTTCATTCAAATACCATCTTAAAATAAAATATAAGAAATATCACAATGTATTTAAAACGTTTGTCATATACGATTATAGTAAGTACAAAATGTCAATGAATACATAGTACAGAATTTAAAAATCTTTATTGCAGTCAAATAGTTTTATGGCAAAATATGATAGATATTTTGATTTATATGAAGTACATTTACATTGTAAATTGGATCAATACACTACATATCTATAATATATTTTTTAGTGGAGCTCACAATATCTGATAAACTGATTAATGTACTCAAATTTTATGTGGACAGCATGTTTAATAATTCTAATTTCTTGAGATTGTAAAACTTTAAATTGACTTAGGAATTGATAATCTATTCAGTAATATTCCAAAGGTTGATCAGAAAGAGCATTTCATTTTTAGGGGGATCAAGTTATCCTTTTATTCCTTCTGCTTTTTCCCTCTTTTCTGATTCTTTTTTTCAATGCATTTAATCTTCTGCTTAATCATTACTCCCTTCCTTCTACTTCACTCTGTTTCCCTTTTTCTTCTTTTCTCCTTGTACCTCTTTTTTTTGTTACCTAAAGATGCTTCTTTTTATACCCGTTTTCTACTCTTTCTGTTGCATGTTTCTTTCTTCTTTTCTTCTGTACACTTTTTTTCTTTCTCCTTCTTTCTTTATTTCCATTTCTTCATATCATTTTTGTATCCCACCAACTCAACACTTTCTTGTTTCATCATTCTCTTCATTGAGTTGAAAAATTCTGGCTCCTACGTGACCCACACATCTTTCTGATACCTGTGTGTCTCCTCCAGCTCCTTGATGTAACCTAACGCACCCTCTTCCGTCATGCATCCCTCTGTCTTGATGGCAGATAGCATGGCCTGGTGAACATCGGCAGCCATGTGCTTGGCATCCCCACAAACATACACATGAGCTCCACCCTTGAAAAGTAGAGAGAAATAAAATAAAAATAACTTTTCATCCCTTAATCAGCTTGAAGTGAGATTGTCAGTGCTCCAACCATTACTCTAGCAACATTATGTCTCATTAAAAGGGTAACATTAGGGTTAGGGTTAGAGTTAGTGTGGCAATTATGTGTAATTAGGCCATTATTAGGGTTATAATAAGGATAGGTACTATGTTTGGTTCAGAGTCGAGGTTGGGAATGTGTATAACGTAAGATATTGACCCGAAATTAATTGTCACCAGAGCATGTATTGTAAGATCTATTTGAGCACGTTTTACACAATAATTGTGAAGCATGTCCCAAACATTTTCCCTAAGAAGCGATTGGGTTGGTGCTGAGTGAAAACCTGTAGTATTCTATGGTGAACAAGGCCTGCCCCCCCCCAACTCCGTGAACGAAGGGTTACCATGCGTGTTACCAAAATGTCCGGTAAAGGGGTACTTTTCATGCACCAAAGTACGGCTTGTACATACACAAACAAGACTTCACACACCGGACTTAGGGGCTGTTTTCAAAAGGAGGGAACACGCATATATATGCGTACCGTAAATAACACTGAGTGGGGGGGGGGGCCGGGGAACAAGGCTGCAGCTCATCACAGGTTAATGAAATTTTCATCATCTCTTGCACTCAATATAATGGTGGCTCTTGAACTAATTGTATAATACATGGCCCTCTATACTAGGATAACATCAATCATTGGCCCATGCTTGGCAAAAAACAATTAAAAATCTGGTTAAAAATTTTGTAATTTTTGTCTCTATTAACCCTGTGTTACATCTCTCCTGGATACAAAGAGGCAAATGTATATAAAATGACCATTGGCATTAGTATCTCAACTTACCTGTATCATATTCCACATCATCCGACCATCTTGTAGAATGAGATGCTGAACGTAGACCTTCTCCTCTTCATCCCTTGAGAAAGCTGTACGCAGTTTAAGATGACCCTCCGCCACCATTTGTTCTGTCAATCAATATCAATTTCAAATCAGTATGTATCACAGTCATAGTGTTTGGTTAGTCTTCATGTTACAATAAAAAGTGAAAGAGTAAAATTTAAATATATTTCAATTCTCCTATGAGGATAGGGTGGAACATTCTACATGTTCACTTTGTGGAATGCATGTATTTTTGAGAAATGATGTTAAGTGTTGATACAGGTATGTGGATAAATATTCAGTTCTATGGATAGCCTGCTTCATAATAATTATGGTATCTCAGCAATAAAGTTGATATAAACATATTGAAAAGTTGTCATGTCAGATTGTAAATATAATATTGCTGTGAGAAAAATAGTTTTGCTTTTCTGTGTGTGTTCTATAATGGAGTGTAATATTTTGAAGGTTGACATGTACATGAGTACAGAACATTTCCTGCCTTCCTGGTATAAGGAGATTCCATACAATTGACATGCACATTTGAAGATTATTGATGATTTATAAATGCAACAATGCAGAAAATGTCTAAATGTGTGAGTTTCTTTTTAAAACATACCAAGCTCTTTTTGATAGAGGAAATCCTTGCCTTTGTGTCTACATCCAAAATAAAGCAGATTCTTTCCACTTGCACCCAAAAGCACTGTGAGGATATATTAAAAAGGAATAGAAGAATAAATACATGTAACATCAATTTACTACACCGCTGATATTCTTAACTTCATCCCTGGACCAAATGCTATAGCCTACACCTAACCCTAACCCTAAAACATACAACACAAATGCAACCCTGACCTTAACAGGTTTGGATGGGGGTGTCCAGTTAAAGGCTCAATCTACAACCATACCCATTTTTGAGGGTCGTTTTTGGCAGCATCAGTTAGGACTTTGGATGAAAGGGCAAAGTATTTCCAATTATTTTTGCATCTGGACTTTGCACTTCAAAGACAATAATAACCCATGTTTAAGGCCAAGATCTAAAAGTGGATGGGGTCATTTCTAGGGATTTTCCAGCACAAATCCCCAGGTTTCTGGATTTTCTTGCAAAAAAGCTACCCATTACAATGGCACATCCCCACATATTATATTAGGCAAGCTACAACCCCCCCCCCCCCGACCTTGACCCTAAAAAAATACAGGCTAGAGGAACATTTGCAGAAACAAAGTACAGTGTATTTAGATCCCTAGCAATTTACCTCTCTCTTGAATAAAAGCCCTGAATGGAGCTATACCAGTTCCTGGTCCTATCATGATGATGTCCCTGGTCCCATCCTGGGGTAGCCTAAAGTCTGGATTCGGACTGATAAAGACAGGGCAAAGGTCCTGGAGGTGGAGCCTGTCCTGGAGGAAGGCTGTTGCTACGCCGACTCTGGATCGACCTCTAGAAGAGTAGCGGATGATAGCGACTGTGACACAAATCTTGTTTGGATCCTGTATTAAAAGGAACAAAATCACTTTCAATTGAATCAAATTCACAGTTTAAATTCCTTTTGTCTAGTACATGCAGTTTCCAAGAAAGGAATATCAATTGAATAAAACAACATATCAGTAGTGATAGCAGCTATAATTAATAATAATAATAATAATTAACCGTTCTTGTATAGCGCATAACACATAGTATTAAAACAATATAATCCTTTCTTTTATACAGTATGTATCTTTCTCATGGTTCACATTGGTTCAAAATTTAGCAGTATCGTAATTCACAAGTCATGAACCTATCTCAAACTTTAAAACAAACATTCTTTTGTCCCAAGTCATGAATATGAGATAGAATAGAGGAATCTAACCAGTTTGAAATGTTTATGGTACTACAATGTTTAAGAATAGGCTTTTCAATTTATTTGCACCTTAGTAATGCAAGAAAGCGTTCATGGACCAGAATGTACACTCACTGTGACTGGGGAGGAAGAGATGGAGTAATAGCGGGGCTGAAGGGGCCGGAGATTAGCCAAGAGCTCTGTTTGAGGTAGGTTCACAGGGAAATGTTCAAGCACATCGCCAACCTCAGCTGTTTCCAGGTACCCCATGAGTGCTTGGTTTGACCGTGCAGTCTGCATTTTTTAAAAGTCAGATGCAGCAAAGAAATTACTCACAAGGGTGCAGGAAATATCTGAACAAATGTATTTTTTAAATTTCAATATTCATGAATTGAAATTTCTAGGGCAACTATTTCACTACAACGTAGAGATGAGCAAAAATAACTTTATTTAATAAGCTTTTTTGGCCACTTCAAACACATGATACTGTTTGTTGAATTCCATTCCTGATATTCTTGTGATGTTTGCTCCTAAATGTGCACAAATGGTATTTTGGGAATTTGAAAACAAGTGTACCTCTCACCTCATAATAGATTAACAAATCAAAAGGAACATAACACTGCTTTTTGCCATGCAAAAGCCCCTATGTAGAAAATCAGTCATATCAATGAAATAAAACTCACAATCATCTACAAAAATATCTAGTAAAGTGCAAGAAATAAAGATGAGAGAACAATCATTTGTTGCTGAAATCTAATTAGTTCTTCATTTCTGATGTTCTTGTTTGAATTAACTGTATTTAATCTAAGTGCCAGTGTCTTACCCCATTTTCCAGAAGAATCTCCAGCTTTTCTTTCACGATGCCAACGGAATGTCTCAGCATAGATTGTAACAATGAGACTCGGACATTCTTGAGGTCGTAATATTTACGTAGACTCTCTCGTAAGGTCACCTTACTCGCTGAAAAGTAAATAAGACATGATTAATAATTTAGCCCCCCATAAAACGAGAAAGCATAATAACGGGGAAAAAGGGAGGTTATAGCTTAAGATTTTTAAAAGAATGATATTCTACTTCATAAATCATAACCTAATTTGTCTCAACGTTAAAAACATTAAAGTAATATTTGACATTCAACAAAGCCATTATTACAAACTTTTAAGAGTCAAATTCTGGATTTTAAATGTTAACATGTTCAGTTGTGAAGTACAATTTCTTTCTTATAATCAACCCATACAAATACATGAAAATCACACATTTCAATTTTATTTATCGATCATCCGACAATGTAAAAAACACATATAACAGTCATAAATACATAAATTGGTAAACGTCATCATCGTTTAGAGTCCATTTGTCCCACTTTGTGGGGTTGGACATTTCATTTCTTTAATGGCCGCCTTCCAAGCTTTCCTGTCTGTGGGATCCACACTGTGGTAAACAATAGATATAAAGATACCTTTTTTTTAAAAAAGTTTGTAAAACAGAAGGCACCTGAACATATCATATAAAATGATAACAAATCAAATATAAATATTTATTACCCTATACATGTATTTTTTCTTAACAAAGAAATATATTTTGTTTTTTTTAAGAATCTCTTACAAATATGTTTCTTACCTGGCTGAGGTTGATAAGCTGATGACGGAACAGAGCACATGTCTTCTCCCCTCAACCCACTAGCTTGTATCACCCATTCAACGTCTTCCATCCTATTAGTGGGATAGATGCCTACAGCATCACCAGCCTCGTACATCAGCCTGCTGCCCTCTATTGAAAATTCACAGTGGATTGTTTCCTTGTCAGCGGGGACATTGCAATTTGTGAGTGCTTCTTTAACCTGTATACATGAAGAAAATGACAAAAGAAGGTACAATACCTAATAACAGCGTCTGAAGTTAATTGTATACATTATGCAGATGGAACTACACATTGATACCTTCATTTTGTTTTCTAGAGGGGGCAACCCCCTTCAAATTTGAACTTTTGCTGCTTGTCTGAGATTGTTTATGCCCATGCGCCTCCCCACATCTTGGTAAAAATAAATTTGGTAACCGGTTTTCTGTGTGTAAAAGGCTGGGCATAATATCTGTTTGAAGCCAGACAGATCTTAACTTAAATACACAGTTAATGCCCTTCTGGCTCCAAATATATAAACTTTAAATGGAAGGAAGATGGTGAAAAATCATGCTTTAATGCGATTTCATCTTTTGCACTAGTGTGCCTTGAGCGTTGATTTTGAGTAACATTACAATTATAAAAATCTTGAAAAAATGAAATAGAAACAAAGAATCTAATGAAAGACAGACAGTGCTAGAGACTTGGAGAGAAAAAAGGAAATAAGGAGACAAAATAACCTGGAAATAAACAATGTGAAAAAAAAAGACAAAGAGAACATTTTGGAAAAGAATGAAGAAAGGAATACAAGCTGGTCGTCACTTACAAGAAGGGTAGCCATAAATGGTTTGAGGCGATGAAACCCCTGTTCCTCAATATTTAGCATAAGGAGCGGAGACAGATAATCCATTCTGTCATCGAGGTTGATGTTATTGTTCACAATGTAGTCCTGGACATCATCCATCCAATTGTTGATCACCGTCCAGTCTTCCATGTCCACATCAGCTCGAGGCACTAGAGGGCAGGCTCCTAGATCACAAAACCTGGACAAATCAAATGGACCATCAAAAATATGTCACTATGACAATGGCTTCTGGTAATGTATAAAAGGGAAAAAAGAACTCCTAGTGACTAATTGAACTCATACCCTGTCGATAAACTTAATTGATACCAAACTTACAAAATGTCTCCACACTTTGATAGGACATTGTTTCTATTAAGATGTGTCATGTAATAAAAAGTCCATGTCTTAGAACTTATAAAACCTAAGTGTCTGATGATACACAATTGAAAATTGATGGTTAATAAATTGAATTACAACACATTCAAAATAGGTGTTCCTTAACCTTTCATAGACTTTTTGTCCAGCTCTGCAGAAGTGAGGATAATTGGTGTCTCCTAGAGCCAGGACAGAGTACCGGAGGTGAGATAGATCCATCTCGGAAGACATAAAGGACTTGTACCAGGCCATGGCAGAGCTAGGCGGAACACCTGGAGAAGAAAAAGTGATTAAAGAGGAGGAAATTCATAAAATCAAAAATTCCTGGCTCCATCTTGGAAGAAATGAATGAGTAAAATGGGCACAGCATAATTTGGAATAGACTTCGCAATGCATGTTCCCATTTCTATTTAAGATAACTGAAGTTAGCCTTTATTCAAACCAGGTTCGTTTCCAGTGCTTAACACATTTGCTGCTAATACCAAACATGGGGAAGTCAAAAGAAAATATACAAAGGGCAAATTCTTCTCAACAAGGAAATCAACAAGGGTGGTAAATATACTTTCGATCAGTAAAAATGTTTTTGTCCTCCAAAATGACTCTTATGGGATGCTGTAAAGTGATAACTTTAGATCAATGACAATTTTTTTTTTAAATCCTGCCTAGAAGCGAGGTTGAAACATATTGTTTAACATCCAAAGTTTGAAGTAGACTTTGCCATCCTTGAAAAGTAAAGCCTCTATCAGATACACAGTGATAAACTGCAGCATTTTAAAAATTATGACACAAGTGTGAAACAATGCACATTTTCTGTATCTTATAACACGTATCTATTAATCATGCATATGATCTTTAAAGTGCGCGGTTGCCATTCATTTAAATGTAAAACAAAACTGTAGCTGGTTTCTTTTAAAGAAATAAATTTTGATAACCATACCATCCCCACTGGTTGAGATGATGATCAGAATAAGTTGTTCTTCATCCAGTCTGAGATGCTTCCAGTGTTTGGCATTTAAGAGACGAGGTTGCAGTTGACAGAGCTCTTCATCATCAGTAGCAGCAGCAATCTTTGTCAGCCTGTTCAAGAAAACATCCTGACAATAAATATTCAAGTAATTGTTATCATTTTTTCATTATTTATTGATGGTTTTATTCATTCATTTATTCATTTATCATTTGATTGATTGATTGATTGATTGATATATTTATTCATTCATACTTATGTATTCATTTATACATTAATTTTAGTAATTTACTAGTGCATGTTTATCAATTCATTTATAAAGTTATTTTCTATTCATTTATTCATTAATTCATCCACTTACCTATTTAATCATGTATTTGCTCATTGTTCATTTATCCATTCATTTATACATTTCAAAGGCATTTCAAAAAACATTATATTTTGAATGCTAAAGTCTATAGGCTGTGCACAATACACCTTCAAAAATAATTATTTTAAACCAACTTTAGGTCTATTAGGAGACTTGAGAAATTGTATCCCATTGGAACTCACTTTTCAAAAAGAATGTTAGCTACTTCTTCACTGAAACCATATTCTGTACCAAAGAATATCAGAATTTGTTTTCCAGGTTCAGTGTAGTGTGGGTGATGTCTTTCTTTGTTGGTATTAGAAGCACTAAGGTCATCTTCTTGCTGACCTGTCAAAAATGAGTCAAATATCACAACATAATAAATAACAAATTCAATTAAATAACGAAATTTACAGCAATTCAAGTTGCAAGTTGGTAGGTTGTAAGCAAAATCGAGAGGCCAATATACTGTAAAAACTCATAGCAACAACTTTTGTAAACCTTTGCAAACTTTAGTGAATAAAAAAAAGAACCAAGACCACTTACATAATTTTCAAAAAGTTCATGCAAATGAAATCCTCAGCTTTACACTTATCTTAACAATAAGTTAATAACAAGAGCCACTTTGGGCCTGATGGTTTAGTCATGTCAGTTTTCAATTTCAACAGTCATTAAACTAAACTGCAGGCACATATTGCGGCATTATTATGTAAGAAGAGCTCCTCAGCTAAACATGCTAAAACAGAATAGAAATAACTGTCTAGTAGACCTAATTAAATTCATTTTTTATTTTAAAAAGCGATGAGCTTTTACAAATGGAGGTAGAGGTGGAGCATGGCCATAGAGTCAGACGTAGTTTCACTGACTGAAACAACCGCCCGAAATTAGTGGACTGGACCCCTAAGCCAGCTACGAGTCGATGCGACGGCCCGCTGAGGTTACGGGGCGAACGCAAGAAAGAAATGGCCCGGTTCCCTAAAAAAAACCGAGCTGCCAAAACTAATAATACAAAACATAATATACCATGAATTGTACTGATATACAGACAGTATACTTACTTGGATTCGAGTCATCGATATACCTGTCAAAGCTGTTAACGTTTGATCCGTATTTTGAGCTTGGTTTTAAAACATTACTTACGTAAATCCATAATATTATGGATAAAATGACAACGCTCACAGCAACAAACATCCTGCAATATCTTCAAAATCAGCTGTTCGAGGATTAGGCTTGCTTCCAGCGTCCAGGCTGTTTAGCTTACATACTCTGTAAATCGATGTTCGGGTTCGAATTTGGAAAGAAGCATTCGAGAACAGTTGAACGATTCTACTCATCCATCAGTTCATTTTTCTATGATAAATTGTTTTGTTTCAGAATCCTGATATGATACCATTCTTCCTGAATTACTATTTACATCCTTTATTTTCCGTTCTCATTCCACCAATTTATTGTGCATGCCTGTTTGAAAGTAAAATTTGCAATAGAAATAGAAAACGGTAACGCCTATTTTGTAGACTACGTGATAATTTCGTTATTATCCTACACATCGCGCAATAACTTTTATCCAATCAAATTACTGCAAAGTGGCAGTTCGGAAAGTACGCTCGGTACGCTCAACAGTGCAGTCACTTTTATCCAATCAAATCTCAGGCTCCTGTAGTATCGGTAAATGCAATTTTCGGCAAATAATGCACACTCTGTCCTTTCTCCTCTATTATCCTGGGCATGCAGGGGCATACGCAGGGGTGGGGGGAGGGGGGGGGGGGTTAAAAAAACACACACTACCCCCCCCCCCCATTGTTGAGCAAAAACAAAAAAATAATAATAATAATGCTACTTACCCCCCCCCCCCCCCCCTCCCCTGCTCATTCGCCGCTAAATATTTGTTCACGAATTGGGAAACAAACAAAAAATAGTGGTATTACCCCCCCCCCCCCCCCCCCCCCCCAGCTTATTCACCGGCTGGCTCATTCGCCGAAAAAAATATTTTCTCACGAAGTGGGGACAAAAAATAGTGTTCATTAAAAATGGAGGGGGTACCTAACATCAGTCGTCAGCTAGCTGCGCCTGTCGTCAGTTTAACCTGCGACCGGTAGCTTTAGCCACCAAGCTATGTCCCATTTAAATACATTCAGGAGTCCTCTTGTCAGTTTTATAACGATTTTTACCATTTAAGTTCACTCTCCACAGTCCCATCATATTCTTCTCCAGTCTGTTATACATTTTTCAACATACAAATGATAATGGTCAGGATTTTACCCGGGGTTTTACTTGTCATTTAAAAGGGCGCTTGACTTGCATGAGTGAATACGAAAGATCTTTCACATCCAAGTCTATTGAAAGCAGCCCTCGACTTTAATGAAAATAAAAGACATTTTAATAGGGGTTTACAAATCGATCCATATCCAAGCCGGATCAGCAGGTGTTCAAGAAAGATCAGAAGGCTTGGGGGAAGAGCTTCGTTGATTAAGTAATGTGTTCGTTTATTCATTTAATTTGTTGTATTTATTGAAAGGGTACATATTGATATCGGGTATATCGGATGCTCCGTTTCAAGACTGCCAAGCCCCGAAATATCTCCTGCTTCTTGTCCTTAAATTTTTGGTCTCTCCTGTATTCTCTCTCTCTCTCTCTCTCTCCGTTTCAATGGTGGACCAAGCAAAGGGGCACATGCTTACCCGTGCTATTTGCTAAATGTTTACATTTGTCTGTACCGTATTTGCTCCTCCCCCCCCCCCCCCCCCTCCAATAAAAACATCAGCCACGAGACCTTTCCTCCTTATTCTCTCTCTCTCTCTCTCTCTCTCTCTCTCTTTTTTTTTTTGGGGGGGGGGGGGCGGGGGCTGGTTTATAATTGTCTCCTAGCCCTCTGAAAGGTGTTGATAGGCCAGTTTCTTTTTTTTTCTTCTTCGAAGGCTTAAGAATTTTGATTAATCTTATAATAAATGATATTTGGAATGGATGTGCATCTGTTTTTTTTACATGCATATTCTTCATGAAAATGATACGTCTATTATAGGTATAAAAAGCAAGGTAAAACCAAAGTGGCTTATATCATTGAGACCAGACACCAGCCATGATATGATTTTAAGCCGATTTTTCCTATATCTGTTCATAAATAGATATAAAAATCATAAAAATCAGTAAGAAAGATAATATTTGTTTAAATTTCTACATCTTGTGTAATTCTGTAATTCAGAAAAGATAACAAGTGAAGGATTGTTCAGAAAAGCAATAGTAAAATCGTCACCCATCAACACGATAAGAAAGAGGAAAATTAAATTTGTTGGTCACATATACAGAAAGGATTATCTAGAAGAAGAAAAAAAATATTAACAGGGAAGATTTCTGTAAAGAGGAGCAGGGGGAAGGCAACGCCTTACATATCTCCAAAGCCTGAACAAATGGACAAGCAAAAATGAAATCAGCAATACCAGCTTTTTAAGAATAGCAGATAATAAGACTGAAATGGAGGGCCACGACCTTCAATGTCTGTAACAGACCTGGCACTTGATGATGATGATAATGATGATGATGTAATTCCGACCTCTTCGAAAATTGGATCGCAGTGAAATCATTAAGTTTGTTCACTGAAATAAAAGCAAGTAAGGGTACAGGGAATGGGCAGTGAAGAAGACAGACAAAAATCACCTGGAATAGACGGATAATCCCAGCCAATCATGGAACAAAACAAAAAAGCCTATGACAAATATGAAAGAGGGGATGAAGGGAATAAGAATGAAATGTGTGACAAACATGATAAAAAACAATTTCTGCAAACGCCAAACTATTTTGTGAAGTACTGTACATTTATTGTGAATTTGAAGCTACAATAATTTGTCAGAAGTTTCTTCCATATTTGTTTTTCTCTTTTTTTACTCTGTATCTATGATCATAACACTACAATTTATGCTGCAACATGCTGGTATGAATTATCCCACTTGCATTATTACAATAATATAAATTCTGTATAACAAAAGTTGAAAACAACATCAAATTCACGTAGTGAACCAAGTAGGCGACCAAACTATACACATGCGTTAATGATATATTGTCATAGTTTTACAAAGACACTCATATAATATTTCTTTTTATCTTTTTTAAACTTTTGCTGCATAATCTATCTGTCATGGAAAGTGTTCACATACTTTGCACAAACATATACTCATATATATATTTTTATAAGCAAGTAATATCTCTAAAAGATCAATAAAAAATCTTGCAATATATCTTACAATTTTAGCTAGCTAAAATCAAGTTCCCATCATTGTTAGTCTTTGGAATACAGAAAAATATAGTGAACTTTTGAAAGAGGAGCTCCTTCAAGTAAATACCACAATTTAGTAGCATGCAAATTGGTTTGAGAAACTGGGGTAAAAACAGCCAAATTAAGATAGAAAACACCCAAGAATTCAGACTGATTTTCAAACTCAAACAAGTTTATAACCCTATTACAGCACAGTTTATGACTTACTTTGCTGTAACTGCATCGGGTCATGAATTTTTCAAAAAGATTCCTTTTTTTTCTTCTTTAAGCGAGTCTGACATTTCTAAAAAAAATTACAGTGGATGTTCAGGACTGCAAGGAAATGACTTCTGCCCTTCAAATTTGTCAGGAAAATCTTTCGGTGATCCTTATATAACTGTTTAAAAGTTGGTTTTGTTGGTTCAAACATTTTATTTATAGCATGATTAACAATCTACAACGGTATTGAGCTAGCTCTGTTTTGAAATGTCATGTATTAATTAATTAATTAATTAATGTTTCCTTTAAAAGGACTTGCTTTATCACATTCAATTTCTGTCTATCAAAGGTGACAAGAAATTGTACATTTTTGCCATCACTACTTAACGTTAATTCACATCTACGTATGTACCACATAGATCCATAATAAAGATTTACAAATGATTAATAAAAAATATACACTTCTTCCTGTTACACAAAATCACTTGGAATGACAAACTTTCATTCAATTTACAACTCTCTAAATTAGGAAAATAATTTTTACAATGCTAAAGTGAAGTCAACTTTCATGATCCTGCAGCAAATTAATGTTGGAAATGTGACACAATGGTCCTACATCAGGTGAGCAAGTGCAGTACCTCTTGCCCATGTTCCTGGTCGTATGCACTAAAGTCTATGTCAGGTCCATTGTCAACTAATATTTTACACTACTCGAGTTGCGTACATATCATCTAAAGACGTGCCTAAAAGAATCACCATCTCCACTCGCTACATTGTAAAATTGACAATACGTGGGGAATACCCTACTCCGACGTGTTGAAGGAAAGGATGTTGCCAATGTGAGCGGAAACATCCGCCGGACAATGGTATATACAATGTAAACAGGTTCTTACTACCTACTCCTGGGCCCAGTTACATAACTTACCATTGACGGTAACTTTGCCATCAATGGCAACTACCATGGTAACAGGGCTCAACAGCCAATCAAAATCAAGGTTTCCATGGTAGTTACCACTGATGGCAAAGTTACCATCAATGGTAAGTTTTGTGCAGCAAGGCCCTGGTCATTCAGAGAGATGGAGACAGAACTACCGGTACATTTTATTTTAACTTTGTACAAGCTGACTAGAACTTACAGTGTTGGAGGAGGCCATGCTTTGGTCAAAGTTTGTGCTCTAAGTTCGTCACATGACCTGATCAAGACCCAATGGTCATAACTCTAGTCTCTGAGTGCAAAATATGATGTTGGTATATCCACATGGGTCATTGAAAAATAAAATTGTTTTCAATAACCGTGAGAGCAAGGTTGGTTCAAGATTAGAATTCCTTTAAGGATGAACCTATGCCTAACTCCTTCATCCCGCACACTCCATATGACCAGGAAAAATTACAATTACAAAGGACCATTCAGCTTTGCCAAAAAAAAATCATTGGGGAGCTATATTCTGTATCAGTTGTTATCTCAGGACCTATACGAACACTGTATATTCACCATTAAAAAACAAAAGGAAATAGAAACATAAATAAATTTTCTCCTCTCTCTAAACTGCTATTACCCAGAATCTAAAATGGTCACCCAAGTTGCATAATATAAAAGACAAAATAATGTGAAAATGATTTAAGAGCTTTCATCCATAGTTAGCTCTCCATGTTTTAATATTGAAACAGAGATATCTAGGCTTTCTATTTTACTACCTAATCTCTTCGAAAAATGTGCATCACAGACATCTTCTCTTGTTCAGATTAAGAGAAATTTTGCAGAAGCAGCAAGATGTTTCAGGGTAAAAAGGAAAAGGCCCTTTCCACCATTTCTAATACTATTTCATGCTTTTGTAATTTGTTTTGAAATGAGGGCTTTGTGAAAGAATTTAACATACTTCAGCTGCTGAAATTGAAGTTTGTCCAAAGCAGTACAATTTTCTGCCTGTCTACACTTTTATCGCTCCTTAAGGACCAAGTCTAATTGGCCAACAATACACACCGACATTGCCTTGGATGAGCAGAGGTCAGTCTAGCAAATTATGACACAATGACACATGGAAAAACAAAAGTTCACCAAATGTGCTGTACACAGTTTTTGAGGTAATGAGCTCCGGCAATAGCTTGAAATAATAACCTTTACCCATGATCGTGCAATCATTCTCGCATGTTTAATATCTACATGCAAAAGGTAGGAACTTCCTCGCTTCGGGGTTACCCTACATACACTGCATCATGATCAATTGATTTTGTTGACAAATTTGGACCGCATGACGCAAGAAGTATGTCATATCTCAAAACCTTACTGCAGCTCGTAACTGGAGGAGGACAATACAGGCAAACAGATCTTGCACTGTTTTATATGAATGCCACTGCTAATAAAATCCTCTTTTAGACAAGCATCTTATTAAAGAGCTTCACTCTCTATCGCTTGATGGCAAAGGATTGTGGGATGGTGGTCTTTCAAAATGTACTTATTTACTAACATGCAAAAATACCATGATACTATAATACATGACCACATTTTTTTCTTCAAATAGATTCCCTTAGACAATGCCATGCATTCAAATACATTATTGACTGCAAGAGTAAAAAGTACAATACATCAACAATCACAATGATACACAGACATGATCATCTAAATCATTTTTTTTTGTATAATCATCTCTTGACATTATAATCGTCAATGTTTCTCTCTCTTTTTTTTAAGTATAAACATTATAAACTTTGTACATTAGATTTCATATGCATGATTTCATGAGCTTTTACAAGTAAGCAAAACATGCCCCCATTTAAAATCATCCGTTACTGTACATTCATGATAGATAGGTGCCCTTCATACCATCACAAATCAAACTATCCCTTTTCCAGCCTTGCAAGTTCTCCTTCTTCCAAAAATGTAATCTTTCAGACGTACAACAAGCAGTGGCAATATATCACAAATTGCAGACTATGGTAATTCCTAACATGTTTCAGGTAGCAATGCACAAGATAACCCAAAGACTACTGAATTTTTTAATTTACTGAAAACACCCACTTTCCATAGGCTTCCATAGTTATTCACAATCCCCTACCCCCTCCCCCCCCCCCCAAAAAAAAAAAAAAAAAATAATAATAATAATAATAATATTCTGTTCAGATGCTCAAGAGTGTATTTGAGTCTTTTATAAAACTAACAAGAGCTTCAAAAGCTGCCAATAAAGAACCCTGCATCAAAGAAGATTTTTTCAGAAAGATTGAATCTATCCAATCTAAGCATTTATGGAGGGGGGGGGGTAGTTTGATGTTTCATAGTTATTCATGACATTTTACATGCACTGACATTCCTGTAAATAGTCTTGTAAATTTGACTCCTGTCGTATATATCTCCTCCCATTAACTGTTGTCATATCTAGACCCCTACTTCTTGGGGATTCCCCTAAAAAACCCTTACCATAGAACCTGTACAATTTAGAAGCTGCACTGTAATACATCTTGTCAAATATTAGCCACTGCTGTGTTACAAATAACAACCCAGAAAAATATGATAAACAAATATCTCTCTCCCTTCCTTCCTTTCCTTCTTTGCTTTGTAAGATCCATCTGTCCATTTAGTGTCCCCTCTGTACATTTATGGCAGTTGTCGGGAAGGTTCCATATGTCTAATTTCAGCTAGCTGTGAGGGAAGAATAAGAGAGAAAACAGGGAGAGAAATTGAACTCATTACAGTGTGAAGGATAACAACGATGATAACAGTCATCAGGTCTTATTTATCCGGTGTAGCAACATCATAGTTAATACGCTCCATCCGTGGGCCCTGCAATTATTCAATGTTCATTTAGGGTACATCAATTTACAAAGAAAATAAAATAAAAGGCATCTAAATTCCCAAAGAGAACCTGAATAAATCATTAGCAGGTTTGCACTAGGGCTGTGCACAACAGTGTAATGAGGTACCCGAGTACACTCCCAGGCTCACAGGCGAATACTCAAATATTCGGACGCCATGTTTTTTTATAATTTTTTTGAATTTTTTTGAATTTTTTTGAATTTTTTTGATTTTTTTTTAATTTTTTGATTTTTTGATTTTTTTCCTTTTTTTTCTTTTTTTGCCACTACCATACCACTCGGCAGTTTCTCAGGACCCTCGCTGAAAACGCATGCAACTTTATTTTGAGTTGCAGTTGAAGGCGCCGATTTAATAAGAATAATAACAGTAAACAATGCTGTTTTAAAAACCAAAGATGGCAGAATAATCCATTTTCCTCCAAGTCCAAACAGAAATCTGGACATTTGGTCCCAGTTTCTGAAAGGTGAGTTTGACAGTGCTTGAGTTGGGAAACATTTTTACCGACGGTACCATGCCAGCGGACGCCGCTCTCCCTGGCACGGGTAAGCGTGGGCCTGGACATATTTTTTTTTTTTTTTTTTTTTTTTTTTGCGGCCGAATATTCGGGTACAAGAAATCGTACCCGAGTAGTTGTCAACCGTGCGGGTACTCGAGCATTCGACTACGGGTGCAAACTAATAGTTTGCACCCCCCCCCCCTTGTTTCTGTTGTTGTAAGTAATAGATAGAGAGGGTTATTTACTTTACAAATGTAATGTAGGGATCTTACTATTGGGGCTTGGGGATGGGTTGAATTTACTGGCTTCTTCAAAGATCATCTCTTTCAGTTTCTCCTTTGGTAAATCATCCAGCTCCGTGACAAATGTGAACGGCTCTTCTTTGACAGGCTGAAGAGAGAAAAAACAGAATGAATATAAAGGTTATTGCACATCATATATCAGTGCATATAATGACAAAACAAACCACATGTAGTACATATCAGAAGCATAGCTGAAGAGGGGCATGGGTGAGCACCCCTCCCCCTTAAATGGCAAAAGAAGGCCCCTTCCAACATCTTTCCCCTGTTCAGTGACCTTATTAATTCCAATTTTATCAAGCAAGTGAAGTCATACCCTCTCCCAGGCCCACCCTTATGGCTGCACCTCTCTACGACTGGTTTCACAAGAAAACCCACACAGTCACCTAAAGTAGGATGCACCTGGTAGGCAATGGCAGGTTTTCTCTGAACGGCTATAGGAAATACTTTAAAACTAGGCTCCATACTAACTTTATGGTGAGGGGTTCCAGATCTATAAGCCACATGTAAAAGTTATGAACTTTCGAGGGTCTGATCCTAGATTTTAGGCGACCATATGTCCCAGGCGCCTTTCGGTGTCAAACCCTGACTAAATGTAATTTTAAAAGAAATTTCAACCACAACCTTGATGAACTAAAGCTAGAAGCAACTGTCCCAAGCAAATATTGGATCACCTGCATGGTTATAGAAAACAGTTTAAATGCATGTATACCTCATCATCTGGATCATAGTATTGTTCCAGGTAGGGGTGTGCTAGAGCTTCCTCCACAGTTATCCTCTTGTCAGGGTTGAAGGAAAGCATCCTCTCCAAGAAATCAAGAGCTATGTGATGTTGGAAAGAAGAAAAGAAGAACAATGAAAGGTATCGACTTGTACTTACATAATGCACCACTATCAACATTTCAGCCATATTTTGCTGCAAGTCATTTCATATCGACCCTATAAAATGACCATGATCATCCCCATCTATAACCACTATCATAACTACCATCATCAACTTCATCATCACCATCAACATTATTTTGATCAGCAGCAGCAGCAGCAGCAGCATATCATTATCATCATCATCATCATCCTCATCATTAACACCATAAAGGCTTGTTCATATATCACTGTGTAAACAGCTACAATAAAAACTAGATGGAACTTCGACTGCGCGCAGTCGAAAATGATGCCTCCGTCATAGAGCAAGTTTACAAACCAAAAAGCAATTTCTCATATACATATATGACCCTTTGATCTTTGACCTCATGACCCTAAAATGTACTCAGTTCATTGGCTCTGCAAGATGTCCTGAGTTAAATAGTAATCCATCTGTCAGTTCTAATGAGAATGCGTTCACAAGCTATTTTTGCATACATAATGAGCCCATGACGTTTGACCTTTGACCTCATGACCCAAGAATCTACTCAGTTCATTGGCTCTGCAAGATACATACATGATCTAAGTTTGGCAGGAATCCATCAATCTGTTCTAATGATAATGCGATCACAAGCTATTTTTTGCATACATAATGAGCCGCATGACCTTTGACCTTGACCGAGACCCCAAAATCTAATCAGTTCATCGGCTCTGCAAGTAACATACATGACCTAAGTTTCGCAGGAATCCATCAATTGGTTCTTGAGATAACGCGATCACGAGCTGTTTTTGCATACATAATAAGCCCTGTGACCTTTGACATTTGACCTCGTGACCCCAAAATCTAAACAGTTCATTGGCTCTGCAAGATACATACATGACCAAAGTTTGGCAGGAATCCATCAATCGGTTCTTCAGATAACGCGATCACGAGAACGGGACGTACGGACGGACGTACGTACGGACAGCCCGAAAACATAATGCCTTCGGCTACTTCGTAACGGAGGCATAAAAAGTGGCTGCATTTTTGTTTACATGTAACTAAAGGGCAACGGCACGCAGTAAAGGTCCTGCGCATATTCATCAAGCTCTGTGTTATAAGATATGGAAATTTGAAGCGTATTGCACTTTTCACATCATAAAAAAGCCATCACATATTATTGTGTTATATCTTAACGAGGATTTAGGGGCATCACTATCATCATCTACATTCACTAACAACACCACCTTCATCATATTGATCAAAGAAATCATCATCATGATCTTTATGATCCTCAGTAGCCTCATCATCATCATCATCAGTATCCCCACATCATCATCATCAGTATCACCACATCATCATCATCAGTATCGCCACATCATCACCATCACCATCATCATCATCATCATCATCATCACCACCATCACCATCACCATCACCATCACCATCATCATCATCATCATCATCATCACCACCATCACCATCACCATCACCATCATCATCATCATCATCATCATCACCACCATCACCATCACCATCACCATCATCATCATCATCATCACCACCATCACCATCACCATCACCATCATCATCATCATCATCATCATTTTCAGCTACCTCAACCAGTGTAGCAAACCCCTTGCTCCAATCCTGGTTACTTACCTTTGTTATCAGCCTTCGGGAAGAGTGACTTGAGGGGAATCTTGGACTTGAACGGTAGTCCCTGGAGGTAGGCTCTGGCCTTCTCGTTGATGATGCATTTCAGGTCGTCTTGGGATGGTGAACCTAGAACTCCCAGGATGTGGTTCAGTTGATCCAGATCTGACATTCACCGTCAAGTCAAGGACAACAATGGGGTGGTATTCTCAAAACTTTTCATCTTCTGCGTTACTAGGAGACATTTTAATTGTCATAATAAACATATATAAGAATGAGCCGGCAGTTAGTGTCTGTCAATAATCACTGTTAATTCTGCACAACTGAAATTCATTATAACTTAAATATCTCTTAATAAAATGAAGATGAAATAGTCGTTACTTACTACTATTTTTTTCATGTAAAAGTAAGGGTATTTATCTTTAAAATAAAATGGCTTTCAAATTGGAACTCAATGAACGTGAAGGCAGTTATTTGCTCTAAAGGTCATCAATTTGTCTATCTAGATAAAAACTCATATCCTTGCCTTAGTCTAGATCAAGGAGCCATATATATGAATCCTCGCCCTAGATGGCGCTGTTTACATCAGACTGATCTATGAGTTAAAGGATACAATGTTTTCCAGGAAAGATGGGTCTGTTGCTCAACATCTCGGCCAGAATGCAACCGACCGACCAGATGTCAATGGACTTGGTGTAACCCTTGGAATTCAGCATGATCTCGGGGGCGCGGTACCATCGCGTCGCTACGTATTCCGTCAAGAAACCTGTGTGGTCGTGGCCGGGGTCAGCTATCCGTGCAAGTCCAAAGTCGCAGATCTGAGGGCAAATGAAACAAATGTTTGTGCTGTTATAGTCAGATGGACTTGTGAAAAGTTAGAAATACATGTACATGTGAAAAATCTGTATGTATGGGTATACAACATAAGACTCTTGTTACATGCATTAACTACAGAAGACACACATACCAACTCAGTTCAATAGGAACAAAATACACGGGGGCTCGAGGCAAATTAGCACCCAAAATGCCATAAAGAGCCCCCGAAAGTCCTAAAAGGGCCCAAAATTTTTTACATACATGTAGAGTTCAATGCAAAACAAATTGAAAGTGTGTTATTTTCATGCAAGCAAGCTTGAAAAGTAGCCCCCGAAATGTTTTAAATATTTTTTCCCCTGCAGTTCATCATCTTATCACTATAAAAGGAAGATAACTAGTATTTTTTATGATAAACATTGTTTCTATTGTGATGAAAGGAAAGTAGGCTGGACAATGATCCAGGGAGATTATACACGCCTGCAACATATCCTGCAGAGGAGGAATAATTACATGTATCAGCTTCTGGTGGACTACCGGATAAGGACAAATGCATGGGTTTGATTGATTTTGTAATCAGGGTATCAGTATAGTGAACCTAGTTAATTTTTTTTTTTTTAATCCACTGTAAATCTCAAACCAACAACTAATGGATATTTTGTACAGATACATGTAGGGTGGTTACATGTAGCCTACAGTAAAGGTATCCTATTGCTTCAGCATGCCAAAAATATAGAATTGTACGACTACAGAAAATACTGTTTCAAAATCCCGTAAACACACAATGTGGAACATATGAATATGATTTCATTGTTGTGGCATACTGCTAATGCATGTCAAATTTCATTACAAATGAAAAACTCTGCAAAAGGAGATACATCTCATACATTGTATAACATAGAGTGTACTGTAATTTATATCTTATGGTGCAAAACACACACATTTCTACATCTACGCCTATTCTTAAACAGCATATGTTAGCAGCAACCCATGCTCAAAAACCACCTTTAGCTTTCTCATTTCTCATTTCATAATAATATTTCATTATAAGTTTTTAGATTGTATTACCCTGCCCCTAACCCCTTTCCCCTTGTGCATTTTACATTATTAATTTCAATAATTCTACCACTCAGTTCAACGTGGATGCATTTCCATTATATAAAAAAAGGAACATAATTCTCTAGTGCTTTACATGTGTATCAAAATAGTGATTTGATATGACATTAGAAACATGTAATTCAGGTTTTTAATTAGGATGATTCTATGATGGAAATCAATAAAATTCACATACTGTACATATCTTGCAGTTTTTATTATAAAAACAAATTGTCTTTATGAGACTATAGAAACAACAATCCTTTCTCTAAAAATAACATGTATTTAGTAATCCTCCCTCTTCCTGGTGCATTATACCTACACACACAGTCACACAGAGCCATAAACTAATTACTTGATTCAGTTTGGAGATGAAATATAAATATCATCACTAAGTCATTTGTCAGCGTACATCTGCATGACGGAGAAGACGGCTCATTAATATCATTATCGGGCAAGACTTCACAATCGTGCCACAGGCAAGATTGAGCAGGATCGCCTTTCTTGTCAGAGTAGCGACCCAGTTTTCACGAGGGGAACCCTTTTTCAAAGGGAACCTTTTGACCGTCTGTCCATTCAATGCACCTGTACCTTCGTATCATATTTCTGTATGATATTTTATAATAAAAATAATAATAATAATAATATGTCTTGTTTACCCTCATCAGTATTAATACTCTTCTCCCCGAGGGCCTTGCAATCATATTATCACCCCCGCTTTTTCAAAGTTTTGTTGCTGCACTAGCAGTCTTTAAATAAAAGCACTAAGCCCGACCATCTACATGTAGACACACGCAAATATGTCTTGAAATGAGGTGCACCTACATGTACATGTAAACGATTGTCTGACACATCCTTCTGCAACAATTGCACTGAAGTCAATTTCCTAAAGTCAACCCCAAACTAGTCCTAACCCTAAACCTAACCTAAAACCCAACTACAGCCCTAACCCTATTCATTTGACCAAATAAAGCAATGGTTACAGAAGCAAAAACCTAACATTACCAATAACCCATACAAACGGTAAAGCCATGTACGATTGTAAATTATACTTTCTTTAATAGTCTGAACATCATACAGCAAAACGCATGTTTAGCATCGTTTCCAACAAAAACTTGATAAAGAATCTGGATCCCGCTCTCGTCTGAACATTGTATCATGGGAACACCATGTAACTGATCAGGCTTACATGTACCCTGAGCTGGCACTCATGTGTTTAGCCGTCATGTCACACTATGAACATGACGGACAATGAAAGCGGACAAAATATACAGTTTCTCAGGTATATAAAGGAACATCCCTTCACTGCTATTATGTAAAAATGTGTAAAACAGGTGTAACATGCAGATTCACCTGTTCTACACATTTTTACATAATAGCAGTGAAGGGATGTTCCTTTGTCTACCTTAGGAACTGTATATTTTGTCCGCTTTCATTGTCCGTCATGTTCATAGTGTCAACTGACCTCTTCAAAATTGGTCTCTTTACAAAAACTTTTTTGATGCAATGTTATTTCCCAATGTATAAGCCTATTTCGCTATCTTGAAACAACGTTTTTGTTTAATACGAGTTGTGTTTACATTTCTTCCAGTGTGAACAGGCTAAGAGTTTACCATGTATGATAAATGAGATATCACTGATGAATATAGCAAGGATTCTTCTACGTCTAAAATGCCGATAGCTATCCCACATGTATGTCTACATGGTTTGTTTACAAATAGAAGTAGAAATGCACTTATCATACAGACATATACATGTACATGCTCATGCTAATCTACATGTATGCTGCCCAACGCATTTCGTGTAGCCCTAGCTATAATGTATGTATGCAGCACTATTGAACTTTGGCCAAACAAACAGGTTGAGACTGTTAACGAGACTTCCACCGAGTTAGAATTTCCCTCGTCCAATGCAACTGAGAGACACAGTAATTGTCAACCGACTTCTCACAAATCCTAGGGATGCATCTAAACACGAAAAAATATATTTTGAAAAGAGTACCCACTCTCATATGCTGATTAAATTGTGCCATTACTGTATTAGAAAGCTTGTATATTTTTGTTACCGTACATTTTTTAGTGTACATTACAGTTTCAATCCATTTTGCAATGTACATGAATGTAGATATGATTCCTTTTTTTAACTTCATACACACAATTCATGAATGGCTATTCACCACACAACAGTTAGCATCTAGTACTTAGAATCAGAAGGGTGTTAACTCCTATCAATCAACGCTAAATTAACGACCTTCTCGTTCTCACGAGACGATACAACGATTGATTGATGTCTGGGACATATTTTACTGATGCGCTGTGTGAGATAACTATTACATCTGCTGGCTAAGACGTCACTAGGCTGAAGGCCAAGTGAAGACACACTGAGGACTATACAATGTACGTGTATCGCTTTACAAACAAGGACTGCCTCGTTAAAGGGAAAACTACTGAAAGTTTGAACAAAAGCGGACCAAAGGGGGGGGGGGAATGAATTTCAGAAGGCGCATAGAAGAAAAACAAAAATTTAAGATAACAAAGAAGAGAGCTGTCCATGAAAAAAAGTCACAATGTAGTGACCAAATTGCCAATTTGCGATTCCCTTAGATTTAGTGATCTCATTTTTCAAAGATGACTTTCTTATTGTTGGACCAATTTATTTCAAACTTTCGCCATACTGTTTATCCGATTTTTCTGCTTTCACACAAATTACAAGGGTTGGATGATATTGCTATTCTATGAAACTCACTATCTCTTCAAGAACAATGCAATGAAACTCACTATCTTTTCATGAAAAATTCTATGATACTGCTCATTTGTAAAGCTTTCGATACGACTTTGTCAGTATGAAAAAATTGTGCAAGGACATTTTCTGTTGTTGTTGTTGTTGATACACATGTATCTTATATTATGACAAGATGCAGTAATGTTAGAGAAGCTTGTGACTGCATGTGGTTACATTTTTTTCTTCATATGTGTAACATATATAATTTATTTATTTGCTATGGCATCTTTTTGTAATGTGGTTTATTCCACCAAAAGTGTACATAAAAAGGGTCAATACCTACAATATGCTAATCCAGATTAGATTATTATCTACAGTACATGTACATGTACCGTTATCAGTAATAATGGTGTGAAGGGGTAAATTAAAAAAGAAAAGGTAAAACAAAAAATGAGAAGAAATGGAAGAGAAATGTATACTTTATCAATTAAATTTACTTATTCATATATTTATTTATTCATTTTCCAGTCAAAGTTGAACCAAAACAAAAATGTACGTCTAATGCCAGTTAAAGGCCTTGTTTAACAATGTTAAATACGAGATGCACGGCCCTACGTATCATCAGTGTTTGTGATATGGTGTAATATTGAAGCCTTACAAAAATTGCGCTTCAAAATGATCAAGAAGTGCCTCAAAAAATTAAAAATCTTTAAGTGACAGGTTTTACCAAACTCGTTTTCTCCAACTGTAGTGTTATGAAAACCTTTAAGAAAACGCAAAATTTGGTTTCGATTTCCAATCATACTTTATAATCAGACAGGTGATCAGCTTGTAAAAGTCATGGGGTTCCTGACTGACTGACATACATGTAAAGGTTTATAATTATCATTGAAGCATGAGCTAAATCCAGGATTTTGTTTCAGAATCTGAGACAAAGTTACTCAATACTGTATCCCTTTAAAGAGGTTTTCCTCACTAGTCAGTGGTTCACTAGCATATATACAGATGTTTTTATTGCAAACAAAGATGAAAACAAATAAAATTAAAAAATCTTAATTTTCATCTCTGACAACAATAATAAAGTAATAAAATAACATTTAACCTAGATCAAGGAGAAAATGAAAACACGGAAGAAAGAAATAAGAGAGAAAGAGATACCGGTAGAGGCAACGATTATGAACTGAAAGACTAGAAATAAAGGAGGAAGGAGGACTCATTGCTCAAATGCTGTTGAAGGCTTCACATCGTCGCTGTTTTCACGAAGTGACGGTAGCGAAAAAAAATTGCATTCACTTTGCATGACGATTGTCCTCACTACCGTCACTTCGTGAAAATAGGGACGACATAATCCAAGTTTTCATAGCCTACAGCAATCAATGGACTCGATTTGTAATGGCATTGTTTCTTACAAGTAATGCCTTTCAATTCCCATAGAGCCTCATGGTGAATCCAGTTTGAAATTGGCTCTCACTACGAACATGACTGACAAAGAAAGCGGACAAAATATACAGTTCCTCAGGTAGACAAAGGAACATCCCTTCACTGCTATTATGTAAAAATGTGTATAACAGGTGTCACATGCATATTCACCTTTTTACATAATAGCAGTGAAGGGATGTTCTTTTGTCTACCTGAGGAACTGTATATTTTGTCCGCTTTCATTGTCCGTCATGTTCATAGTGTCTTACATGCAATGTACATGTACATGTATATATATCTATCTACTCATCAGGGGAGGCATGGGATAAAAAAAAAAATGGAGTCACTCTCCCACCTTATCCACCTTGAGTGTGAAATTCAATACAAATGGAATCTCAAAATCGCCATTGTTTCTTACTATTTTTATAATTAGTTTGACCAAAACTCTGTAATGTTAAATAATTAAGTCTCAGGGGAATGCACCATACAAGCATTGCTTTTTATAGCATCCCCCTCTATTTGGATGTATACATTTAGGACAATAATGCAAGTTTCTGCCTATTTAACAAGGCATTAACAAAATGTGTATTTTACCTTTTTACGCAGGGCTGGGGGCCTCTATTTCCATTTAAACATAATGGCCGCTTTGACAAATTTAGGGGCAAATCACATTCAGCGTTGTCTGCTCATTTTCACAAGACTACCTTTACCTAAGGTTCTCACCGGCACATTTAACACCATAAGTGCTAATACCAAGCGAGGGGGAACGGGTCCTAAAAAATACCAAGGGCAAATTATACAAGACAAGAATACCCACAGGGTAATTAATGAGTAAATGCATCACATTTTCAACCTGCAATTTGGTTAGGGGGGGGGGGGACCAGAACATAACACGTTTGGTGCTTATAACAAGCAACTATCCTCCTGAACCACACCTAGGATGGTGCAAGACCATGTTGTCTGTTCAGACTTCAGAACATGGAAGGACCTCAACTCTGTACTCTTAAAGTATATATGAGTTAAAGGGAAAGTCCACTCCCAAAATAAGTTTGTTTCGATAGAGGCAGAATAATAAGAAAATCAGGTGAGTGAAAGTTTGAGCAAATTCTGAATGAAAATAAGAAAGTTATGAATTATTGAAGTTGTGATCAATCAAATACAAATTGGCAACTCTGTGACTTATTATACGAGCTCTCCTTCATTTGCTTTGTGCATAATATTCCATAAAATCATGTTTTCTTCGTTATTGGTGACGGAATATATATTTGTTCCTTGCAGGGGGAGTATAGAAACATATTTGCAATTATTATATTTAGGGTGCATGTATGGTTGAAATTTTTCTTGAGGGAAAATGAAAATTTTACATTTTTTTAGTACTGAGCAAATGGAAGTTGAGCTCGCATGATACGTCATAGAGTTGCCAATTTGTGTTTGATTGATCACAACTTCAAAAATCCTAACTTCCTTATTTTTAATCGGAATTTGCTCAAACTTTCACTGACTTGTTTCTCTCATTTTTCTACTCCTATTAAAACTAACTTAATTTCAGGGTGGACTTCCCCTTTAAATCCACCCAACACCCCCATTGAAGTCAATGGCTAGTGAAACATAGTCTTAACTCCTTAAGGCCCAAGTGCTCAGTGACACAAAAACCACTTTTTCTCAAAATGGAGTTACGTCCTTGTGTCACTGACCCCTCCATATATACTCAAGGGTAACCACATTCCTGGCCAGAAGCCTGCTCTCGCTTACCTTGAGATCACAGGTAGTATTGAGCAGCAGGTTGCTTGGTTTGAGGTCCCTGTGAAGCACGTTGGCCGAGTGGATGTACTTGAGCCCTCGAAGGATCTGGTAGAGGAAGTAGCAGATGTGGTCGTTGCTCAGCGGCTGGGTCTTGAGCAGTTTGTACAGGTCTGTTTCCATTAGACTTTGAACAATATATCTGATTGGGGATCACCCCAAAGTCAAGGAAACTTAATATATGATGGTGATGTTGATGTGGTTTCATAGTGGCTTCCATGGAAGTTGTAACAAAAATATGAAAGTGAAAATGGATTTGCTTCTGAAAGAATCTATGTAATATCAACTCAGTCTGTAATTATCAATCTGCCCCACCCCCCCCCCCAAGCAATATTATCTGTATCCAACTTGCTATCAAGGCACTCAATATGCATCATTTTATAATAAAAGTCTTACAAGTTACAGTACATAAAAAGATGTCTATGGTCAGATGACCAGGTAAGAAAATATTTCATCACAAAATATTGTTAGGGTAAAGTAATACTTTTCGTAGAGGAACTTCAAAATTGTTTGGGTCCAAAGTTGTAAAATGTTTAAGTACTGTATGCCCACTTTCCCTCATGCATTTAAATAGCAATCCTCTTCAAGTCTCAATTACTTAGCCCCCTAAAATAAGTAAATAACAATTTTCAGCACAAATGATGAAATTATCAAACAAGAAAAAATTGATAGAAAGGTGGAGAATCAAAGGAACAGAAAAAAGAAATAGATAGAAAACACAGGGAAGAAAGGAGAGTGGTAGATGGCTCAGAGGGAGATAGAAAATGGGAGGAGATCAAATAGGACGAGGAAGAGAGAGAGAGGGGAGGAAGGAGCAACAACAAAAAAGAAAGGGAGAAAAGGAGAGACAGACTGAAAGAGTAAGTGAGAGAGAAAGACAGAGATAGCAAGAACATATCATATCTTTTCCATGCTTGATTACTGGTTAAATATAACAAAGGATACACATCTCTCATGGCTTCAATTGTGTCTGCCTTGATGATATCTTGGATATTAATAATCTGTACAAAGAAAGAGAAATACAAAGCAAACATATAGTATATCAGCATGTTCAGACCGGATGAAATTCATACAAAACATGTTTATTATTACAAAAAAAAGTAATGTGCAAAGACTCATCATAGTGCAAAGACTCATCATAGAGCATACATTGTACTGGATAACATCCTATAAAGAAACTAATTTTGAAGAGATCAGTTAACAACAAAGCTGGCCAATCATTAGTGAACTCTCATAATAAAAATGCTAACCACTTATATTTTAATTTTTTTTAATGTTAATGATGCAACGTCAAGATGAGAACAGGAACCTGATTCTTTGGCAAGTTTTCCTTTTTTTAAATGATGCTCAAACATTGGTTTTGGTATGTATAAAACATTTTGTTATACGACTACATGTACAAAATATAATTTACTTATCATAAAGCTTTACGCTTTTCATAGCCATACAATGAATTTTGGTAGTCTGAACTGGGGTTTATAGATAGAACAACAGAAATATTGTATTACACATGATATGAATTAGAAAGATGATATACTCTTCTCTGTTTACAAACGTTTTTCTTAGAACTTTTTCTTAGAACTGCTCCAGAGCTATTGCTCCATTACTATAATTAAACCTGCACAGCCAAAGAGTCTATGAATGAGTCTTACGCTATAAACTACACATACAAATATCTGCAAACGCATACACATTCCTAGATGAATCTTTCTTATTTCGCTTCTTCTGGCGATGTAGGAATAGATGGTGTATATGAGATTAAAAAACAAAAATGCTGCAGTCTTTATAAAATGCATCAAATATTTTAAATCCATGTAAAGTGGTTTTGATTCACCATGTAGCTTAGTGGTTTTGATGCATATAGTCTCCATTTGCAATTGACAACTAAATCCACAATCAAATTTAATCCAACATATATCTTCATTTCAAAATCTTGCTTTCAACTCTAAATTAGATCTAAATCCCCAAGCAGTTAAAAACAGAGCTTAGTTACCGGTACTAAAAGCAATCATCTCTACAAATATTACACAAAATGTTTTAGAAAAAAAAATGTGGGCGATGTTTGGCACATACTGTACTTTTCTCTCAATAATGACGCAAGCATTTTTGCAAGATTAACCTTATTCTAAAGATTCACTAAAAAATTGTGTTTCACTTTCTTGTCATTTTTCTTTCTTTTGTTTTATTTGGTGGTCATTCTTGTTTTCAAGACCCTACATGAACCTAATTATAACAATTTATGAGAGTGTTTAATGTACAATTAACACAAGATTTTCCCCAAGAATGGGCTGTTTAAGTTCTTATTTAAAATAGTAAACACAACATAAGACAAGACTGAAAGTTTAAGAGAATAACTACAAAAGAAAGTAAGATTGAGAGGATCAGAAAAATGGAAAACATAGCAAGTTTGAGACAACGACTTACATTTTCATGATTGAAGCGTGTAAGGATTTTAATCTCTCTGAGGGTTCGTTGGCAGTATGTCTGGTGCTCAAACGGACTGATCTTCTTGATAGCCACCTTGCCTCCGTGTCGTGTATCCACCGCACTACTGCACAGGGCCAACAAATAAGGAAGAAAAAGACACAAAAAAAAACAATGTTAAAATAACATAAATACAAATATCAATAAATCAAATAGACTTCTCAATGTTTCGCTCCTTGCGCGATTGCCTCTAACTCCAGCAGATACATCAGGGCTTAAATTAATCCAAGGCCATGGCCTTGGATGCCCCTTTGATTGGCCTAAATGCCCCTCTCATTGGCCTTGGAGGTTTTTTTTAAGGCCTGGATACATGTATAGGGCGTCAGCATGCACACCGGTACTACCGGCATAGTATAGCTACTGTTGACGGCCGCAGTGTACTGTGAGCTTCCGTAGTTTGTATCAGTAATACTCATAGAGATGTGGAGATCGGAGAAATAGCGAAATCTTCCGGCAAAAAAGCGTACATTTGTTTAAAATATGGCGGCCTCGAAACACCGTAAAATACGAGCGAGAAATCCTACACGCTAATCTAAATTTCATAGTTCCATTTCATTGGTTTAATGTTTGAAAGTTGAAGCTCGAGATTGTGTGAAAGTTATTACAGAAAAGATAATCTATATTTTATAATTCAAAGGGGGCGATTTTCAATTTTGCAATCGCCCCTGTGAGCAATCTGACAGAGACGATTATGTAGCTCACGGGGCGAATCACCCGTCGCCCCCGTGTATTTTGAGCAAAAATATATGAGCAGCTACGTGTACATGTACAGTACATAGGCAATAAATACATGTACATTAACATTCATGTTCACGTGTGTGTATTCATGTGTGAACCAGACTCTCTACACTCAGAATGGATGACTGGTTACATGTATAATAATGTCTGTCACATTTTTTTCTTATTCTGTCATAGGCTACACATACTGTACATGTATGAGCTGCAGGACATCTGTGAGATGCATTAAAATCCTTGACAACACATGGCACATCCACACAACTCCTGAACAATTGCTGTACATGTATGTGTATCTACTCAACCCATTGCCTCCGGGAATCCAGTGGTCATTGTATTAAGCCTATGGGAATGAGAAAATTCAGTTGTTCGTGGGACGAAATGTACTCAAAACACCATTTTAATCACCACTAAGTTGCATTCATATATTGTACATGTTCATAGTTTGGTGAAGTCAGAACCAGGAATAGCAATCAAACCTAGCTTCACTGTAACACATTTAACAGATTTCGGAAGGATGCAGAAACAGGGTATTAAATGATTTCTCAAAAACGACCAATGAAACAGACATTTCATTTAAACAAGAGTTAATTTTGCTAAATGCATTTCAATGGAATGCGGTTGTGTGATAATTGCCCCATGTTTACATTCACATCTCTCATTATGCGGTTGTGTTCCCAAAGTCTGCAAATGAGCCATTTGTCTTCCAAGAAATGATGATTCACTAGTCTATGTTTACAATTCAATTTACTACAGCCCACGTACTACTAACAGACCTTCAGGAACATGAAAATCCAGACTACATGTACATTCATGTAAATGCATTAAAAAATATGTAAAATAGGAGTACCGGTATTAAGCAATTTATTAAGATTAATGGTCTACGTTCTGAAAATCGATCATACGGCATACTGGTATTCCTGCTTTCCAGAAAGATCCTATAATTGATTTTTTTTCTTTTTCTTCTCCATATAATAAATAGCGTAATAATAAATTAATCTCAGTGAATTTGACATACACTGTACATGTAAGTCAGCAGACATGTACGTCTAAGGCTAAAATGAATACCATAGGCCTACATGAACATGATTAATATATGATTTTATGTTTGTTCTTTGTTTACTTTGTAAGAACATTGTACAATGTATTTCAAGAGTGGGCATTTACACTGCAAAAATTGCTGGCATTAAAAAAACCCACACCCCTGAGGTGGATTTGTGTGTGTGCGTTTAAAGGGAAAGTCCACCCCCAAAATAAGTTTGTTTCGATAGAGGCAGAATAATAAGAAAATCAGGTGAGTGAAAGTTTGAGCAAATTCTGAATGAAAATAAGAAAGTTATGAATTATTGAAGTTGTGATCAATCAAATACAAATTGGCAACTCTGTGACTTATTATACGAGCTCTCCTTCATTTGCTTTGTGCATAATATTCCATAAAATCATGTTTTCTTCGTTATTGATGACGGAATATATATTTGTTCCTTGCAGGGGGAGTATAGAAACATATTTGCAATTATTATATTTAGGGTGCATGTATGGTTGAAATTTTTCTTGAGGGAAAATGAAAATTTTAGATTTTTTTAGTACTGAGCAAATGGAAGTTGAGCTCGCATGGTACGTCATAGAGTTGCCAATTTGTGTTTGATTGATCACAACTTCAATAATTCATAACTTTCTTATTTTCATTCAGAATTTGCTCAAACTTTCACTCGCCTGATTTTCTTATTATTCTGCCTCTATCGAAACAAACTTATTTTTGGGGTGGACTTTCCCTTTAACACCAGAATGTTTAGAAAAATTTATGAGTTTTGCTTGAAGAGTTACTGCAGCTTATAACTCAGGGTACATGTATGCCCACTCAGCATGTCAGTCGTCAACTGTATACATTACTTTATAGGGGATCATTTTTTATTTATTACTGTAGGCCAAAATAACCTTGAATTAATGTGGCATGCATAAAACATGCTTCATTAAACTACTTGGTATGAGGCCGAATCTGGCTAGCTTAAAAAATGTATATTTTTTTTTGGAGGCGGGGGGGGGGGGGGGGGGGGGGGGGGGGGGGTTTCATATGACACATGTACATGTACATGTATGTATATTGCACAATATTGGTTCATGGAAATCAGCATTCTAAAAATAGAGATGACAAAAGTCTGTACATGTACAAATTGTTTCAGCAATTTAATTTGGGAAGGTTTATGAATACACAACTTTAATGTCTCACAAGTTACAGTAAGAATGATACGCCAAAGCAAAATTCCTAAAATTGAAACATTTAGAAGTAAACTTTAATTGTTCACAATATACAGGTTAATGTACATGTACATGTACCTGTATGTTGTGAAAATGTGCAGAGCGCAGACTACTTAACACATGCAAATTGGGCCACGCGCCAGTGAAAATCAATAGTCTATAAACTGCAAGGACACACCGTCTCCATTCCATGAATGGAAAAAAATTGGGACAAGGATGCATGGAGGCATACCTTAACAATATAAGAATCATTAAAATATGTAAAGAGAGATCCACGCAATCTATACAGTATACCAGGCCTGCTGTATACAGTATACAATGAAACCAAGTTTAAAGGTACGGTTCAATATTTCAAAGTGGCTAAATCGTATGCGGGCTCTAAGCATTAATACGTCTTACAATGTTACATCGCAACAAAAATAAGTCTATGCTGGATTGATTGATTGAGGAGGCAAGTTGGCTTAGTCGGTAAAGCGTCTGCCTGTCAAACCAAAGATCTTGGGTTTGAATCCCACCCAGACGGATGACTGAAGCTTGCATTGTGTGTTAACGTGCCCCTCCCCTTGTTTCAAAACACTCCGTCCCTCAGAAAGGATGTTAAAAATGGAGGCCCTGTCTATGTCAATACATGTACCTTTGCACATTCAGAACCCACTGCACTATTCGTATAAGAGTAGGGGGAACCCAGGTGTAGTGGTCCACCTGCACACCCTAGTATAGTACGACAATACTCTGTAGAGGGATGTACTCAAATGGAAGAAGAAGAAGAAGAAGAAGATTTTAAATGTTGTCTGACATGTTGCTTTGATCACAAGGAGCAAGATGCACTTGAAATGTTTACTAAAGGATGCGTATAGACCATGGCAGGCATGATGTCCTGTCACATCGTCCATATTATGGGGAAAAGGGACCTGTACATGTACAACAGTCGGGTGTGAATGGGCCTTGTTTTGTTACATGGATCCTACATGTATAATGATGCTGTAATACACATGTATTACTAACCTCAGTCACACCACCAAATTTCTTCTTGTACATACATGTACTACATTTACAGAAGGGTTCAACATTAACAGTCATACACACTCAAGGGCACAACATATCTACATGTACGTCCTACCCCCAAATTTTGAGGATATAATGTATGGCTATGCACAGAGGCTATAAAAATGTCAATCCATCCTAGCAACAACAACAAAAAACAAACGAAAGATAGTGTGGAGCCCTCAACTGGAGTGATGCAACTTTTTGCTTGGTCTGTTGTGGGTCTGGTGTTGTTTTTGTTGGTGTGATTGGGGCGTAAAATATGTATGAATGAGAGGAAGTGAACTCAAGTCCGTTCGCGCGTGGATGCACTTGCTTTGTGTACATATGGATGTGCAATACAATTGCATGTTCCACAGGTGAAGACTTAGTGAAGACTTGAAAACACATTTCATACACTAAAATTACAACAGCTCTTAATCATTGACCTGATGTAGCTAACAATGCTCAGTCATGCTCTATCAAACATTGATAATATCACTGACTAAATTATCGTAGTACTGGGATTTATATGGCCTTAACCTGAAGGCAATGCATGCAACAATCACATTTTGTCATTTAAAGCAAATGGCTGCTTCGTATTACAGTGTTGGCCTTCATGATAATCATGTACATACATTGTACATGTATACAACAATATCATTTACATTTATATTATAAGTATGGTAGCTGAAGAATAACTCGCAGCTTCATTTGCCCCACCCTCCAATATGATAAAAGGAGGAAAATATGAGGCCTACTGTTTTCGCTTGTTTTCCTACATGTATATAGACACAAACAGGATGAAATTATTATCGCATTATTAAAATACAGTAGATGCATATTCTCTTGCTAGTTGGTAAAGGGTGAGGCTGCGACGGGTAGTCGAATGCTCGTGTACCCGCACGGTTGACAACTACTCGGGTACGATTAGGACTTGGAGGAAAATGGATTATTCTGCCATCTTTGGTTTTTAAAACAGCATTGTTTACTGTTATTATTCTTATTAAATCGGCGCCTTCAACTGCAACTCAAAGTAAAATTGCATGCGTT